AACAAGTCATACAATGAAATAGAATGCAACCTTAAATTTCTAATGAATACATTTCAAACAAAATCACTGATACGCTAAATAATTCTGTACCACAAAATGAAGACTGTTTTTGAATACAAACACTTATTCAAAAAAAGAAACCACAGTAAACGTATATTATGTTGATGGCTTTGAGTGAATCAATTAAAATCAGGAGATTGCCAAACTGATTTTCCCCACGAATTTTAAAATTCAGTGAAAGATACCATATGTTTTAACACGAACTAAGTAAAAACTGTCAATATTTGTTTGCAAGAATACTTATGATTGATAAAAATGTCATTACCAGTTTAGGGGTTGTGGAGATTGTTAAGTTTTTGATTGAGATTATGAATCAATTGATGTTAGACCACCATTGAAAATTTGAAAGCACTGGACGGCCATTCGCGCGCAAGACTGAAGGCCCTGGGTTCCAATCCCGCGAGCGAGATCGTGAATGCGCACTGCTGAGGAGTCCCACAATGGGACAAAACGGCCGTCCAGCGCTTCCAGGTTTTTAATGGTGGTTAAGCGTCAATCGGTTCATGATCTCAATCAAAAAATGTCATTCATGGAACTAGAAAGTGAATGTAAAATGGTGTTTTTTTAGCTGAATTTTGAGAAACAACTTCACTTGATACATATTGTTTATGGGAGTATCTGATGTGACTCAATCCATAGTCAAGAATGTTTAAGTAATAAATAAGTAGTCTCCCACTCTAACTTATAGCTATAAAACTTAATCCTAGGTTTTGTAATTTTACCAATAAAAGGATGGCAAAGTATAATTATATTATAGCTGATGTCATTACATGATAAAAAATCCTAACTCTTACTTATAAATTTAGTTCAACTCTTTATACCTAAACCTAATTTTTCTATCTTGACAGTTGTGTGTTACAAGATGTAAGGGTTGATTATTCATATTCAAACTATTGACCCATTATAAATTTATTGCATTTTGTTGTCGATTCTTTTATAACTGAACACTGCATTCTGATTGGATAACAAGTGGCTCAAAGTTATCGAATGCACAAAATGAGTAATCGGTTCATTAGATCACCACCCTAATTAAACTTTAATGTTTTAATAGTAATAATATTAATAATATTGTAATGAAGGAGAACACAGGTGAGGACAACCGAATTATATTTAGCACAACATTACAAAGTTACCTGGTAAAATAGAAAACCCATACTATAATACTTAATTTGCAAAATGTTCAATAATTATCTCGGACTTCACTGTTCATGCATTTCTATACTAATTGTTTTCTACTCCCGTTCCTCCTTTCTTGATCTTCCCAATCTTCTGCTGCCAGACATTACATTCCTGACTCGCGTTATATACTACTTATATCAATATAAGTAGTACGCATCAAAATATGTTATATTACAGTGAAGAGTTATGATAAAACAGTTACATCTTTATCAGTATCAACCTGAACTACATGATATTTAAATGACCAAACATTGTTTATATGTTTTTTCAAAAAGAAAAATCTTGCAAGTAATTAAAACAAACTTAAATGCAAGATAATCGTTACAATAACTAACATCATATTTAGCTCTAACCCATAAAGGACATAACATTCCATTAAAGAACCTACATAATAGTGTTTGCATCATAAATGTAAACTGTTTCGCTAATATTCAATATATTATCCCATCTGAATTGGTAATCCATTTATCTTTAACCACTAACCATTGAAGTTGTTTTGCGATCAAGTCGTAATAACTTGACATTAATACAGTTCAGTTTTATTAAATCAAGACGATTACATTCCATTCAACCCACTTCTTATGTAACATTAAAAAACCACTAGGAAATTAACTAAAATAAAATGTATACTACACTATTTAAACAATAATCTTTATTTTGTTTTGTTTTTTTGAAAATAAAAACTAGCGCGCTATTCAAGCATATACTGGCAAACATACTAAATAGATATATTTTTTCTCAACTTCAAAAGTTTATTTCGGTACGATTATTTATTACTAATAATCCTTTCTTCTATGTAATGACAATAGACAGTTGTTCATTATGTTATATGTTACACTGACTGTTTTGGCATAGATTTCTACTAATGAAATTGTTCAATACATGACTCATCCCTTGAATACCTAGGTATTATCAATGATATATAACATGAATAGTTCTTTATACTAAATAAAATAATATTTTGTTTAACCTACATAAAGTTGTATTGTGTGCTACTGATGTCGATAATTATAAATAGTATATATCATCAATGGAAATTGAAATGCCTGGAAGTAGAAAGTTAAGAAAATCGAAGAGAAGAGAACGTCAATAGCGAATGATTGGTATAGGAATGAAAAAAAAAACACAATGAAGTTTGAGACGATTGACTGACAGTTTGCAAATGAAGTATTTACGATATAGTTCTCAGATTTTATCAAGATGTTCTGTAATTTTGTGTTCTGGTTCACTATATTTAGTGTCGTTGCCAAGTTATCTGTTATCAATACATTACAATTTATATTATATTTAATTATTTAAATATCATTCAAATTATACTTAAGCGGTTTATTACATAGAAGACTTCTTGTATTTCATGTTTGTTTCTAATTACGTCAAAAGAAATTCTTAAAATATCAATGATGTATGAATGAGGATTTAGTTATATTAAAGTTTATAATGATATTACTTGGTAACTCACTCGTTAAGATTTAAAATAAAAATAATGATGACTTACAAACCTATATGGAGTTTAAAGATGATAGAATTGTATCCTGGCAAAAGTATATTTTACTGGATAAGATTCAATTCCTTTTGAAATAGTTGAGTAATCTTGAAGCCTTATTACAATTAATCAATATAAAGTTTGTATAAATTCAAAGGCATTTTTAAAGAGAAGCAATATAAAACAATTAGTCCCTTTGATAGATTTCGATAGTGCAATCAGAAGACTTACCCTTAACTTGTCTAGTTGACCTTTTAATTTTCATATATAAATGTTCTTAACAAGTATATATGTGATCAGATTGTTCGAAACGTATTACGCTAATATATCACATAATTCTGATAAACTTCGTCTTCTCATTGCATTATAGAAGTAATATAGTCAGCTGATTTTTTAACAGTTTTAAAGAGAGTAAGAGAGATAGAGAGTATTCATTTTGCACAGCTTATTATCAATTTGTCTATCTTATTACCGTAGAAATATTGTTATATAACCTGATTGATTTGGGTATCAATCCATTCATAATAATGCTTTGTCTTATAATTTATTTCATTAGTTGTAAATAGTTTTATAGAAAATTCATCATCTCCTATAATATTTTCATTAATCAATTTGCTGAAAAGATGAAATTATGTAAAAGTCATGTGTGAAACGGTTTCCTATTTAACTATTTTTATTTAACCAACTCACTTATTAATCAATGAATCGCTAGTACAGTGATACATTTGAGAATTCACTATAAACACAAGAAACTGAAATGAAAACTGATTAGTACATTTAAAATCTGTGCATAAAAAGATTATGTATTTGGTACATTTAACTGCACGACAGCCGTTCTAAGATCGCTTGAGGTTCTAAGTCCCATAGGGATAGGTTTATTTGTAAGATAAACAACCCAATATAATTAAAAAAGGACCTTCTTAACAAACACTATCTAGAAAACAAGTTATTTGAACTATACCCTGGGAGTCTAAAGATCTTTATAATGAAAAGTTATGGCGTATCATAATGAAATACGAAATTATTTATAAGTCACAAAGCTGATAACTCTTCTGATAATCAGAACAACAATTATTATAGGGGCATAGAATATCCGGACAATGTGGGAAATGAGAACGATTATTCGAATTGCAGAGAAAAAAATATTAGATCTTAATTTCTTTAATATCGTCATTTTCACACGAAAACGATAAAAAGAAATTTTCATGGAGTTTTGTTCTTTGAGATCGATGGCTTGGTCGTGGAGCTTTCAACGTGCTTCTGAACGACATCATCAGCACTTCTGCCTGAAGTTTGTGCGGATGATATTGTTCAGAATAACGATGAAAGCTCCACGATTAAACCATCCAGCTCAGAGAACGAAACCATCAAAATCATCTGCTTGAGCTACATATCTTCACCATTTCAAAGACGTTTTCCTATCACTTTTAGATGTTCTGAATGGTATACAAATATTTTCCTAAGGAGCACTTTAAATCAAAAAAGAAAGGTATTTCATTATTGAATTTTATCTACAGATAGATGTCATTCCGATTGATCAAGTTTGTTCAGCTGTATTTTTATTCTTGATTTAACTATGTTCAATATTCACTTTAATTTGATGTTCCATTCAAATCGTAAAATAATCTAGATTTCATAAATGTGTCATTAAATCGTTTTTATCCCACTAGTTGTTATTAATAACCAAACTAGCCACAAGAACAATGAGTGATTTAACTGTAAACTCAAAAAAATCATTATCAGCTAAAATGGTTTTGTAAAGATTCTACGAAATTCTCATTATTAACAACTATTTTAGTAGTTGAAATCATGAGTCAGTTGAAGCTAGACCACCATGGAAAACTTGGGAGCACTGGATGCCCAGGTAAAGAAGGAGGATTCAGGCATGGATTAGCGAATCCATCCCGTAAAAACTAACTCGCTAAAAAAAACGCTGACCACAAATAATAATTTAAACCATTTAAACTCTGCTCTGGGAGTTAGAAGGTCTTCATTTAGAAGAACTATGACGCCTCCTGGTAAATCCCGAGTTACTTCAGAAGCCACGAGGCCGATGCTCTTTATAACAACCAGATCAACAATATTACTAGGTACATGGAACGTTCAGACACATTATAGCAATCACCTTCTCTTAATTAAAATAGGTCATTATAATCTCAACCGTAAAAAAAATTAAAAAAAAACTTTTTTAAAATCAATAATCGATTTTTTGAATTTTAAAAAAATTATAAAAAAAACAATTAAATATTTAAATAAATCAATAAATCAATAAACTTACATTTAAATAATCTATTTTCATTTTATAATTATTTTCTATATAATTCATTAAAAAATCATTTAATTGATAATATTGACTTAATATATTTGAAAAATCAATAAAAAATCTTGAACACATATATTTTTCCATTAATTTTATATCAATCATTTTACATGGTTTATAACCATTTATTAACAATTTACAATATTTTAATAATCCACCACCATATATTTCTTCTGGTTTATATATTACTATCATATTATTATTTAAATGTTTTAATGCTTCTATATAACTACATGCTACTGATTTAATTACTATAATTGGATAATAATTTTTATGATTTTTTTTATTTTTTTATTTTTTTTAATTTTTTTTAAATCATAAAATTTTATTAAATTATTAATTATTATATGAAAACTATCAATTGTAAATTCATATTCACGTGATATACGATCAATAAATTTAATTTTTATAATTTTTTCATTCGATTTATTAATTGTATGATAACCAATAATAAATAGTAACCATGAATCATAAGTAGTATTTGTTGGTTTATAGATACGTATTATTTTTTGTATATATTGTTTAATAATCATAATATTATTATTATTATTACTTTTATTACTATTATTATCATTATAATTTATATTGTTATGTTGATTGAATAGATTCAATAATCTTGAACATGTTGAACATTTTGGACATTCTATAGATGATAATAATGAATGATAATGACATAATGAATGATTCAATTTATAATAAACATTATTATTGTTATTAGTATTTATTGTTTGTTGATTATTTAACATTGAATATTTCGAAGGATTCACTTTTATAATATTATTATTATTATATGATATAGTATTGAATTGATTTTCATGTAAGGGTTGACGATGAATAAATGATTGATTGATAGGAAAATGGAAATTAGAATATTGATTTTTATTGATTTTTGATTGATTTAAATTTTCTACATTTTCTTTATTTAAATGAACCGGTATATTTAATGGATTCAATTTATAATTTGAACAATATTTACAATTATATGATAATGATGATGATGATGATAATGGATTCTGTGTTGTTTGTATTGTTGATATATTCAGTGGTAATGTAGAATGATAACAAAATATACAAGGATTTGTAATATTTGATAAATTTTCTAAAATAATTGTATCTTTTAAAATATTTTCAATACATGAATATATTACTGATTTAATTTTTGTACATGTTGTAGAATTAGATAAATCAACATAAAATAATAATTCTATATCATGAAATGTTTGTTTATTTTCTGAACCTGTAAAAGAGAAAAAAAATATCATCATTAAACAATACGTTTTAATATAAGGTTAATTCAATTGATTAATGATACAGTAAAGATTAATTGTATATCATTCAGAAATGAAGTGTATTTGGTGAAATGTTTAACTCTATCATTCATTGATACATAAAAAGTAGGTCTCGGGTTCGAACCCTTCTCTCGGAAAGAACAAACCAGCTTCCAGCTGAAGAAGAAATTAGGAAAAGACGATGGAAATAGATAGGACATACATTACGCAAACCACCAAACTACATCACAAGGCGAGCCCTAACTTGGGATCCTGGAGGGAAGCAGAAAAGACGAACGCAAAAGAACAAATTACGTCGGGGAATAGAAGCAGATATGAAAAGCATGAATAACAACTGGAAGGAGCTGAAAAAACTGCACAGGAAAGAGTTAGATGGGGGATGCTGGTAAGCGGCCTATGCTCCTTCACGAGGAGTAACAGGCGTAAGTAAGTAAGTGAGTTCGAACTCCGTGAGGCGAGGTCACGGGTGCACGCTGATGAAGAGTCTCACAATAGAACGAAACGGTCGTCCAATTCTTCTAAGTTTCCCATGATGGTCTAGCTTCAATTGACTCTTGATCTCAACTAATCAAAGTCACTCGTAAATTCGTATATTATAAAGATGGTTAATAAATATTTTATTGGTTACTTCGCTCATGATAATTATTTCTTTCAACATTATCGAGTCAAATAGTCAGTATAAATAGTTATTTCATAGTATTGATCATATTATTATAAAAGTGAGGTTATAAACCGTTTTAAATTAAACAATCAGGTTAAACGTTCATGCGTAAGACGACAGCTCTTGAGTTTCATCCTCAGTGACAGAGTTATGGATATATACTACTAGTAAGTAGTCCCGTATTAGAAAGAAACATGAAACGAATAATGCATTCTGGTTTTCAATCACTGTGTAGACTAGTTCGTGATCTCAGTAAAAGCAAGAAGCCTAGACGATGACTATATAAAATAAAGATGAAATTTTAGTGATTTAATAGAAATTTGATTAGATAAGATTTTAAATCCCCATTGGATTCTATTCATATATTCATGTGAATTTTTTTGAAATATCTGGCGGAAGAAATATGCTCAGAGTTAATGAATTGCTTCAATATTGAGTATTTAATGGTCTTGGATTTCGTATTTTAAAAACTACGTAGTAAATTATTTATATCTCCCAATTTTTAATTAACTTTTAAATCACCTTACAACCTTTTAATTTGGGATCTATTACAGCTTGATTGAATACTGAAACTAATTTTAGTCTGATAACCATTGAAAATAGAGAAGCATTAGTCAATTGTTTCGTTCTAGTATAGGAATCCCATATTATGGTACATTCACGACTACACAAACGAATAAACTGATCAATTTTAAAAATATACTTAAATATAAATAAGCAAAAAATTTTTTATCAGAAGGGGTTTTGTGGAGATTTTAGTAATTTCAATAGTTGAAATCATGAGTGGATGCGCACTGCTGAAGAGTCTCATACTAGGACGAAATGACAGTCCAGTGCTTCCAGGTTTTCCATGGTGGTCTAGCTTCAACTGACTCATGATTTCAACTATTGAAAAAAAATTTTCAAAAAATTGTATTCTTTACAAAAAGGCAGTACATTTATTTGACTATTATACTGTGTAACATTGTTTTGATGATAATATTATGTCTAAGAGCTAAACTAATCATATGATACATTAATCATTTCCTATTTATTGAATATACCGTCAATTTAATCTGAATTATAACTGAAAATTATGTTATGAAATGTTCTTTTCACAAAATAACTTTAACCACTTCATTATACGTATAGGGGTTGTCGAGATTACTAAGCTTTTGATTGAGATCTTGAAGCGATTAATGTTAGACGGCCATTGAAAACCCGGAAGCACTGGATGGCCGTTTCGTCCTACCGTGGGACTCCTCAGCAGCGCGCATCCACGATCCCGCTCACAGGATTCGAATCCAGGGCCTTCAGTCTCGCGCGCGAACGCTTAACCAACTGGACCAATGAGCCGGCATCCAATTATGTTAGTGTCTGACATCAAACAATCATTTCATTATAGAATGACACTTTTCATTATGATAAACTGATGAAATTTTATAGGTTTTAAATATAGATTTTCTAAATGATAATCAAACCACTGATTCAAAAATCAGTAAGTTATTTGCTCCTATACAACATCATTGGTAGATTATTCACTCAGCAATAAGTATGTCAATAACTCATAGATTTCAATCAACTATGCAAATGCTGAACGTATTAACAATGCTCATTCATAACTTTTAGTTTATATCGTTAATCTCATAAAGAATCGTACCAAAGACTCAGGTTTTGTGAGAGCTGACATCTGATGATTTACACTTAGCAAAAGTTCAAGGTTTGCTACCTCTTACTGCTGAGGGTGTTCATTGCTAGGTTTTATACTATGATGAGACCATTATTTAATGCTCATTGGTTCTTGAATATTTTTTGACTAAAATCATTCAACAATGTAATATACAATTAAACAATCTCCAACAAAACATTTTACACTAAAAAGTGGTTGATCACTGTTTGAATAGTCTAATAAATTATTGATTAAATTGATTTCAATAACCATTCAGATAGTTTGTATTTTGTAACAATAAAACCTAATAATAAAGAGGGCTATTTTGAAGAGATTGTACAATTTTCATAGATTAAATCATAAACTGACTGAGGTTAGATATATTCAGCTTTATTTCCTGTGCTAGCGATCTTGTAACCAAGCATTCGCACACAATACGATGATCTGGGGTTCTATTTCTGAGTCCAGGGTCATGGTTGCGTATTGTGTTTAAGTAACTCCGTACTACAATTAGACATCTGTTCAGTGCTTCCAGGTTTTCAATGGTGGTCTGGCTAAGGTTATTCTAAAATTTAAACTGAGGATAACATTTATGTCTTAAAATAATACTAACATTTATTGCATAAGTATATTAGATATAAATTAAACTCAAATCAGACATAATGCAGTATAGAATTAATTTTGCATTGTGTTCAATATCTGTTGATCTCTACTTTGGTTCAGTACTCAAGTGCATGAAACTGCGTTGGACCGTTCCACTGGATCTAAATTTCAACAGGTACATAATATAAATGTTGTTTGTTTTGTTTAGAAATCACCAGATGTGGCTCATTTGTAATTATTATATTTCTATTATACTGTTGTCAATTGATATTTACAAACGTATGTAATAAATCTCTGCTGGTTACTAAACTCGGTAAATGGATGACACTATTTGCATGTTTAAACAAATTCTTTATATTTCATTTTGTTCAGGATTATACCATATAGATTAATTGGTTTAAGTGTAATTGAATTATATGCTTAATATGTCCAGCTGAGTGGTTTTTCTTTACCAAACTATGCATAGAAATATATCATTCTGAGAAACAAATTATCTCTGGCTCTAACCATGTTCGAAAAATTTGAATCTAACTTAGAGATAGCGTGTTGACTAGAGGTCATTGTTATTAAAAATAATCGCATAAATTATTGGCATTAATATAAATCTTAAAATAATAATAACCGATCCCATCATTTGTAAAATTGTTGATATTATTATGCCAGAAGTTTATGAACTACAAAAGTGAGAGGTATGAAAATTTGTTTACTTATAATAAAGCAAACGCTAATAATCATATTAAACCGCAGATGTCATTATGGAATTGCTCAGATTGTCAAATTTTATTACGATCACAAGCCGATCGAAGAGAAATGGCCGTTAAAGACATGGAAGGAGAGGATAGTCGTTCCGCCTTAATATGAAATTGTTAAGTAATGCTTAACTACGACCCCTAAAATGAGAGTCGAATCTAGGACCTCCGGTCGCGCTCGCGAACACTTAGTGTCATGACCAATGAGCTGGGACCCAATGCTTTACAAGCGTAAATTCAATCAGTCCGACCATCTTTCATTGTTCTCAGTCGATAATTGCCTCATACACGACACTGTTAAGATCCAGTGGTCACGACTCCTCAGTGGGACTCCGGATATTTCCTCTCAAAACCAGACAATTACGAGCACATGACAATTTTCATCAGCAAGTTAGAGAGATTGTAGATTAATTGATGTTATATATTAACATCGTCGCATAGCTACTCGGTGGTCTAGAGGTTAGGTGTTCACGCTCGAGACCAAATTTTCTGGGTTTGATACACGTTTGTGGAGTGATGGATGCGCACTATGGAGTAACTTCATACCAGGATTTTAGTTTTTCAATGATTGTCTAGCCTTGACCGGTTCGTGATTTAAGTGATAAGCCACACCTTTTTTATTATTACTATCATCTCATATATAGTCATTCACAAGTAATTATTTGCACTTTTATAAAAGAAAATTGTGAAATCAGCAAGATAGACATTAGGACAACAATTCTTAAGGACAAGAGACACACAAATGATTGTCTAAAACTACCAATAATAATAGAACTTGCAACTTCACCATTTAAGCGTATCTCTTTAACTGGTATTGATTCTTTCAGTAATCCATCACGTATTGTTCTAATAAGTTTCTTTAATTGTGTACGAATAGTTGGTAGTTTCGGTGGTTGTTGTAATGTAAACGGAATAGGAGAATGTGAAATTGTATTTTGATGATTAGGTAAGCAAGAATCATTTGTTAGATGATGATAACCATTATTTATGGTATTATCATTGCTTGTGTTATTGATTTCACTATTGGAAGAGCCGTCCGGAATGGATGTTACTAAATTATTTCCTTTCGATACTGGTACTGTAGTTGGAACGGATGAAGAGATTACTTTATCAATATTATCACAATCCTCAGTATTGTTCAAATTAGTCGAATTAATCAAACAATCAGATGATAAATGATCTGAATGTTTTGTATATGTTTGTTTCATAAAATCATAAATAATTGGACCATATGTACAGAAACATGAACATGGTTTACTAATGATTGTTGGTAATGATGTAGTTGTTAATGATGATGATGATGATGTTGATATGATATTATTTGTACCTAAAAAATTTTGATACAAAGGCTTTGGTGAAATACTTATAAATGAATTCATTATTTCATCTAAATATTTCACTTGTTCAAAATTGAATATATGATAACGATTTGAAGTACATGATGGATTTAATGTATTAAAATCAACATTCATTGGAACATCAGATAAAGATGGTCCACAATCTTTACTACGTTTAAATCGTCCATAATCAGAACGTTTATAAAATGTACTATTTGTATTATTATTATTATGATTACTATTATTGTTATAAGTAGTATTAACGGTAGTAGTTGTAGTAGTAGTAGTAATAGTAGTATTCGTACAACTACTTACAAGTGAACGTTGTAATGATAATTTATTATTTCCTTTATTTATATCATTCTCTTCATTATAATAAGAATAATTCAATATTGGTTTATATGTTGTATAATTCATTAAATTAAATGTTTTACGTTTTTTATAAAATTTATTATAATTTAAATTTAAATAATATTTTGTTTGTTTATTATGATAATTTGTAATCATTTTTGGTAATTTTATACCGAATTCATAATCAATATTCTCTTGGATACTATACATTTTTGGAAATGATTCTAATCTTGTTTTTAATTTACGTTCAATGGTATTATAATTAGTAGTACTATTATTATTATCGTTATTATTATTGTTATTATTATTTTGATTATGATCAGTGATATAAAATGAATGTTTTAATGTATTATCTGATAGTTTATTGTTTATATACATTACTGATGATGGTAATGAAGATGATGATGTCGTTGACGAGGATGAGGTTGAGGATGAAGATGATGTTGAATAAGATAAATTAGTTGGTAATTTATAATCAGTTTTAAAATCTCTCATATTTAAGTAAACTTTTCAATACTTTTTGTTGAGATAGTTTTATTTTTCGGTGTCAATTTTTAGATAAATTTGACAATATGGTTGTTATTAGTCTCTGAGTGTGTACATATGTATGTATGTATGTATATGTGTTTGTATGCATGTGTATGCTGATATATTTGTCCTTAAAATGATTCCTATATATTGTTTAAATGTTTCATAGATTTTATGAGGAAACAAATGAAATTGTCCAATTTTGATAAATAAAACAAATAAAATTTTAAAAAATGATAATCATAAATAATCTTTTTATCATTTTTTTACTTTTGTTTTTATTCATTTAAAACATAAAAACTACTCAAATGTACTTTATATATTAATAAGATATATATAACTCAATATGAACAAGATTTTTTTCCCAATCAATTTTCCCTATATTTATCAATGATTCGTTGAATTTTACGATATAACCTTGACCCGTGAATTATGATTGGTTGATAGAAATGATCTCTATTATCTATTTGAATGAATTCAACTAATCTATCAATTTTTATTCTTATTGGTTCATTATTATTATTTTATTTGAAATGTATACAGTGGGTGGAAAAGAGTATCATGGAAAAGATAATTATGATATATATGAGAACTATGAAATTTGTTATTGTTTCATTTTTTTCGAAAGAATCGTTATAATAACTTGATAGAATATTTTCTTAAAGATATAGGTCGATACATAGATGTTTCTAAAAAGAAGTATTAGCTAAATTTTCCTTGTGATCACAATGGGTTTTATGGAGATTATAGTAATTTTAATATAGTTGAATTCATGAGTTGATATAAGCTAGATAATCATTAAAAATCTGAAAGTACTGAAAGGCCTAGTATGTCCTAGTATGAAACTCTTCACTAATGAGCAAACATGATCACTTACCAAAAGGACTCAAACTCAGGACCTTCTATCTCATTTGTGAACGCTTAACGTCTAGACCACTGAATCAGCATCCAACGGTGTTAATGTCTAAATTCAATCGATCTATGAATTGTTGCTCATTTATTCATCCATTCTATGAGATAGATACCTGTCTCTACCCGAAACGGTCATGGCTTCTCACTAGAACTTCAGGAAGTACATGTTGAAACCAGTCACTAGTGAGCACATGATGATGATAATTATAAGAATGGGTTTTGTGAAGATTGGAGTAATTTTAATAGTTAAATTCATGAGTTGATTCATCAATTAAAATATTAAAAGTTTTATTAGTCAAACTAAATTTCTCAGCTATAATTAAAATTTCATAATTTGAACAAAGCTGTTATCTAAAATCAACATTATCCAATTGTATCTACCTCATCATCAATACTTCGAAAACTCTATAAAAGTCAACATTTAAGCAATACAAAAACGTAAAATTCAGCAAAGGAATCTCTGTTCAATGAATTTATTATCAAGCTGTAGAATCGTATATATTTGTATGAATTTTTCTAACTATTAATTCCGTGAGAACATACGAACAATGAAACGAGATGATGTTGTAATAAAGAGATTATAATACTAGATGAAGTAATGCAGATAGTAACAATAGAATATATTATATATGGTTAGGGTATATTTATTCCCTTAAAAACTACAGAGAACTTTTATATTTTTTTATTATGGATAGCGGTAGAATTTAGGATGCCAGCTTCGTTCAAATTGGAGAATTCTCAGAACTAATGAATAAGCCAGTGATTAACTGGACTCAGCAGCTTATTCAGAAAGCGCTTAAATTTAATGTGATTGGTACTGGATCAGAACTACATTTAGAACAACAACAATACATTCGATTGAGGAGTCCTGAAAACAGAGAAATGAGCGTGTGATCAATGCTTTATTCCTTGACATCAAGGCAGTAATAAGCGTGTAGTCTGTTTTAAAAAATATCATACTAACAATAATCATAATTTACTAAAAAATTATTAGACCATACTTTCTTAGTACCTTTTTAGTCTGTATTACTTTTTTTATTAGTAGTATGGTTCCGAGAACAAGATTGACAGAAATTCAGTCTTTCAATATCAAGTATCGGATAACTTATATCCTCACTGATAATCATATAAATATCATGCCCGTTAAACAAGTAAATGAATATCCTAACTCAGAAGCTGAGTAGATAACGTGTTGGCATTTAACTTGAGATATGTTGGATTCGAGTTCAGATGTGTCTGTCAAAGCTAGGATGTAAATATGTCAAGCTGACGAATTCTAAATAGGATGAAGATCGTGTCCTGGATTCCGCTGCTATTCAAAATCCATTTTTTCTATGTATCGGGTTGTTATTTCCTGCCTAAAAGGTATCTCTAAATAATTCTTCATATGCTAACAACCTTTAAATGTAATAAATACTTTAAACGTTTATCAAAGGAAAGTTATTTATTTTGATAAAAACAAGTGATAGCGAATTTCTTGAAAAATAACAGCATTATTTATATGTATGTATGTATCCGGAATTCATAAGACAGACTACAATGCAAAGTCGTGTATGGAGGACAGCTGACAGACGCATTCCAAGTAAGGACTGATGTTAGACAACGCTGCTAACTCTCCTTTTCTCTGTCTCCTGGTAGTAGACTGGATTATGAAGACCTCCACATCTGATGGGAAGCACAGAAAGCAATGAACAGCTTGCACGCAACTATACGATCTAGACTTGCAGATGAACTGGCTCTTCTAACACATACTCACCAACAAATTCAGGAAAAGACAGCTAGTGTAGCAGCAGACTCTGAAACATCAGGTATCATCGTACACAAGCGAAAAAGCGGGATCCAGAAATACAATACATAGAGCACCAAACAAATCACACTTGATGGAAAGGCTCTGAAAGTAATGGAAGTTGTACGCACCTAGTGAGTATCATCTACAAAGAAGGACGATCTGATGCAGATGTAAGAACGAGGAATGGCGAAGCAAGGGTAGCATCCCTACAGTTGAAGAACATATGGAACTCAAACAACTGTTAACCAACATCAAAGTTAGAATCTTCAATACGAACGTCAAGTCAGTTACTTCTATTGTATGGAGCTGAAACGTGAATAACTACCACAACCATCATCAAAAGGATTCGAGTATTTATAAACAGTTGTCTACGCATATAGCGAATATCCGTTGACCGGATACAATCAGTCACGGCCTATTGTGAGAGAGAATAAACCAACTTCCAGCTGAGGAGGAAATAAGGAAACGAAGTTGTGAATGGATAGTACACTCATTGTGGGAAACATCAAACTGCATGATGAGGCAAGCGCTATCTTGAAATCCTGAAGGAAAGAGGAAAAGAGGAAGAGCACGAAACATATTACGTCGAGAATTGGAAGCAGATGTCATAGGAATGAATAGCAACTGGGAACAACTAAAAAGGACTGCACCGTACAAAGTTCGATGGAGAATTCTAGTGTGCATCCTATGCTCCTCCAAGAAGAGTGTTTATATACGTATGAATAATTAGCTAACTGAACTCAAAATAATACAGTTATTAACTAATTAAAAACGTATCTTGTAATGACGTGAAATAATAACAATAGTCAATATAAAAATAACTGAAGATTTCAATTTCCCCTTCTTAACTGAATAAAATTACTCTACGTTGTAGTGTCAGCCATTGTTTTAAGCCCATAATATATCTTATTCTAGTTTTCGGACATTCCATTCTATTCATCCTACTTGAGTCATATTTTGACCTTGTCAATTATTCGCTTGTCAGTCTTGACTGTTTTTATATGAGCGTATATATGTGTGCCCTTCGTATCCCATTAATCACATGTCTGTAGCTTTATATTGTCTGACTATAAATATTGAGTAACGCTTGGCTAAAATGGAGTTAGCTTCCCAGCCATCCTCCCTGCGCGTCATTTTGCCCTGTTCTACTACATTCACTTTACATACAAAATATATGTATTCAAAGGCCATTCTCGTTAATTGACTTATCTAATTCCGTTATTGACTAACGTGATTTAAGTCGACGATGATATACGAGAAAAGGCGATGACAAACATCCATACGATCTTGGAGTCAGATCTATGGGCCACTAAAACGTCACGTTAAGACAGAATGAAATATAAATAAATAATTAATAATTAAATGATTACTTATTAACTTGAGCAAATCAGATAAGAGTTTTATCCAACTTTAAGATGTTTCAACCGTTTTTCACTCACAATCTTATATAAGTTTACCTGACAGATTAGATGAAATTTCAATGAATAGCGATAAACTCTATTTGTATATTGCATTGTTCATGTGTTATTAATTCGATTGTAGGTAATTAAATTTAGTAATATGAGGAATATAAATTTCACATAACCAAAAAAAATCAAGTAAATTTTACGAATTAAACATTCATTAAAAATTAAGAGGCATCAGGGAGTTGTTTCATTCTAGTATAAGATCATCTATTAGTGCACATTCACAAATTGAATACGGATTTAAGTCTGAACCTTTGAGTCTTGAGGTGATCACTTAGCCTCTAGACCACTGAGCCAACATTACATGATTTGTATACTTGACTTCAATCAGTTTGCGTTATCGCACAGACATTTTCGAATATTGTACCTAAGCATACAAAGCATTAGGTTCCAGTTCAATGGGTTATAGGTTAAGCGCTCGTTGAGAAACTTGAATATATATTTGATTAGATCAACCTGTGAATTCATGAATGAACGCTGTTCATGGGTTATATATTAAGAAAAAATAACTGTCCAGTGCTTTTATAAAATTATGCCACTTCAATAAGCTCCATTAAGCTACTTGAATATTGGTCAAAATTCAACTCTGACATCAATTCTACTTAGAATAAACTAAAAGAACAACAATTATCAACCGTTAATTGTAATAGTCGTTTCTTTCTAAAAATAAAGCAATATGATAGTTACTTCTGTCAAAAGGTTAAAATAAAAACAATGTTTTTTATACATATCTGTAGAATTTAGAATGTGTTGCTTTCCATTTTTGGTTCGTCAACTTGATAAATCTACGGCCTAGTGTTTATATTATCAGTGATCCTCAAACCCAATGATCATCATTTCCAATATGTAAGACATTTATCTACTTGACTTGTGAACCATAAACCTCATAAACTTATTCTAAAAGGTATAACGTTTAGTCTCTACCTCTAAGGATTTATACTAGATGGAAAATGGAATTAATGATACTAATCCAGATTGATTAAATATGTAATTATCTTTGTATAAAGATTGATTTAAGTTTAAGGGATAACTATGTAATTTAGTTGTCGCAATTAGGTGCCATTCGAAAAGTTGATCTGAGTTTATAGTAACTGAGTAGTGAAATACA